AGGCTCTACCTCAATCTGCTGCTAACAATTACAGCACTTTAGAAAGTGCATCACTCTCAAAGGTTAGAAGATCCATAATCTCTCTCTCTCTCTCTCTCTCTATATATATATATATATATATATATAAGGATTAACTTAAATTATTTTTAGTAACATTTTTCCGCCACAAGCATTAATTACTTAGATGAAAATAATATAATACTATCTATATCTATGTAAAAAATCATCTTATTTACTAAATTTTAGTAAAAATAAAATTCAAAGGAATTAATGTATCCTATGTTCATCATTTTTCAATTGTATTATTATCATATAGCTAAAAAATATGTATGCATTTATTCTATCCTTAATTGATGGTTTTTGCAATAAAATCGGACAGATATATTTCAAATAAAAACATATCTCATTTCGAATTTAAATTTAAATATTAAAATTTCTTATCATTTTGTTACTTTAAAATCCTGAACCAATTGTTTGCCATAAAATCAGACAAAATAATAATTGCATAGAATTCAAGTAAAAACATGTCACATTTAAAATTTAAATTTTAAAATTCCTTATCATTATGTTACATTTCATGATGATTTGTTTCCCATAATATCAGACAAAATAATAATTGCATAATATTCAAGTATGATTTCAAATTTATATCAAGGATGTTTAATAAATGCATAGAATTTCAAAGATGTTTATTTATTATAAAAAATAAATTTAAAAAAAAAACATTTGTGTATATTTTGTAAAATATTTGTACAAAATGTTTTTGTTTATTTATTATAAAAAAATAAATTAAAAAAAAAACATTTGTGTATATTTTGTAAAATATTTGTACAAAATGTTTTACTTTAAATTTATTTACATAATTTAAATTAATTACATTAATAAATAATATTAACATATATTAAATATTTCATTACTTAAAAAAAAAAAGAAGAAGAAAACTACATCTAAAACCTGTATAAATAGTAATAATGACATTATATTACAATAAATTTTATAATAAAATAATATGAATATTACACGAGGAATAAAAATTACGTAAAATTGTTATTTTTCTTATATCAATGAATAAATATATAATGAAATCAAATTTATATTATTAAACATGTGAGCTAAATAATATATTAATTAATTTACGGACTAGCATTACCAAGTTCAGGTTTAATGTCCCAAACAAAAAAATGAAGTTGATGAAAAGAGGTAAAAAAAAAATAGATGATCAAACTCTATAATTTTTTTAGATCTGAACTGACAAGCCCTATGGTCCACTCATTTAATATCTTCTGTAAATCGCACGAGCTACTTAACGGACAAGCTCTGTGGAAATGACTGTACTTATGTCCCGTGCATCGCATGAGCTACGTACTAGTTTAGAGCAACTACCTGAAAGTCTCAAACTCACATATACTATCCTTAACATTCATGCACATGATATCTAAAGCACAAATACAGAGCTCCTCTTACATTTCATATTTACAGCAAATTGTAAAAAGTACATGAAAATCATCGAACGTCTATGCATCTTCAGCATCACTGCTGCTCGCACGAGTATCTATATAGAAGTCCGAGTCAACTCCATCCAATATCCTCCCCCTATTACAGCAAAAACACCGATTTTTTTTTTAAAAAGACGTTAATTTGCTCAAAGGCAAAACATATTGCTGAGTAGAATTAACTCAAATACCGTTCGAGAACAAATTTCCCTTCTTTGTATTTCTGGCTATTTTCATGAGCAACCTCCTGAAAAGTGCGTGGGAGGAAAAAATCAAGAGCGATCAAAGATAATGAAATAAAGAGAAAGATGTCGAATTGAAATAAATAATAAAAATAATAGAAAATTGAGATCATCATATGGTTTGGAACACAAACGTATTTCCAGCCAACGATTTGCCCGCAACAGCAGCAAAATATATCCGCCACAGTGTGCATTCCGGATGCCATCATCCTCTCCTCATTTGGTCCCATTGTGATGTTATATCTGAGAACAAAGGTTGGGAAGATCAAGAAAAATAAAGCCCATTCAAAATGTGGCCTAAAATACAAAAGGCTGCTGGGTTTCCTTAATTAGATGATTCTAAAGTTAAGATTTTGCGACCAAAATATGATGCCGTGCAAAAGATAATAGACCAATCGAGACGAACTAAATCTAAGAACATTCACAAAGCACAACACTACTCTAGTATGAATTGTCTCATTTTATCTTCTAATGGAAATAAGACGGCTCAACTATAAGTTATAAACAAAGAGCAA